CGGCCTGCGTGGCGGCAACCTGGGCCTCCAGCTCGGCCTCTTTGCGGGCACGCGGTGTGTGTATCTGTGTGTTTGAGTGTTTATGTATGGTGTGTCTGTGTATGTGTGTATGTGTGTATGTGTGTATGTGTGTATGTGTGTATGTGTGTATGTGTGTATGTGTGTATGTGTGTATGTGTGTGGTGTGTGTGTGTGTGGTGTATGGTGCGTGTGTGTGTGTGTGTCGCCGCTGCTGCTGCTGCTGCTGCTGCTGCTGCTGGGCGTGGAGGGGAGGGGATGGGAGGGGGTCTCCTGCTGCTGCTGTTGCTGCCCCCCTCCTTGAATGGCAAGAAGGTTCCAGAACCGAACCGAACTGGCCGAACCGAACCATGCTGAACCGAACAGGCGCGAAACGGTTTTGATTCTCAACAAGAACCGGACCGAACCGGCTGACGCCATTTGTAATATCGAACCGAACCGAACCAAACTCGACTTTGAACCGAACCAGACCGAACCGAACCGAACCGGACCGAACGGGAGCCAGCCCGAAGCCTGGGGGTGTCCCTGGCCCATGGGGTAAACGTTTGGGGGTAAGTCCCAGAGCCGTTGGGGTAAGTCCTGGGGCCCGAAGGGTAGGAGGTCCCCACAAGGCCTCGAAAAAGGTACGAAGTCCTGGGTCCTGTTACCAGCCTGGTACACATCCCTATCCCTATGCTGGGCATCGCCTCATCACGATGCCGATCATAGGGATTCTTCCCTGAGTTTCTGAGGGCGCATCCCTAAGACTGTCATCGCCTTTTTGGCACGTCACTCTTAGGGACAAGGATCTGTGCGAGGCTGGTGATCCTGGGGCCCCCGGGGGGGAGTCCCGGGGCCCCAAAGCATCGAAAACATAAGTCCCGGAGCCGTGACGGCCATCGGAGGCACATGCCGCCGCGGTGCTGCTGGCCCACGAGAAGGGAGGTACGGCAAGGCAGAAAACTACAACACTGCACCAAACACAACGTCGCTACGCACACCCTCTGCGTGCCGACGGGGCGTCGCTACGCACGCCCTCTGCGTGGCTGCGACCAATTATTAAAACCCTAAAACCAATTAAATTCACGAATGGATTACTCATCCTCACGATGCGGGCCCCAAATGTCCGACGCCCCGATCTCTTCACCGCGGGGCCCCGGAAGCCCCGACCCTCTCCCCGGGACCGGATTTTTTCATCCCGAGCCGTTTCCTGACGGCCCCGTCCGAGCCCACCCTGACCTTCCAGGAGGGCTAGGAAATAGCACCAGGACGTCGATGTTCCAACTCCTGCCGAGGTCTGAGGCAGTCCAGATCGATCTGTAGGTCTGGAGTGCCATTTTTTGGCGCTCTGGAAGGTCAGGGCAGGCCAGGGCCTGTGGAGGCCGAGAACGGCCGGAAACCTCCCGTCGTTGTTCTGCCCGCTCCCCCGCCCAGAGCTGCCGGCACGGCCCGCGAGCCCTGCGTCGGGACGCGCTCGGGGCCGAAGGGCCTCCGAGCAGGAACGCGGCAGCGGCGGCGAGGCCTCGCGAGAGCGACGTGGTTGGCAGGTGGCGTGAGCAGCTCTGCGGAGCGCCCCTGCGGCAGCGAGGGCAAGGGGCCCCGGGGCGGCGCGGGCCTTCCCCGACCGCCCAAGACAGCCCAGGAGGAAGCCAAGAGAGGCCCCAGAGGCCCCCTAGACATCGAGGAAGCCCCAGAGGAAGCCAAGAGAGGCCCCAGATGCAAGAGGGCCCCGAATCGCCGAAACATCGCTCGAACCGCCCCCGGATCGGCGGCACTGACCGGAGGCCAGCCCAATACGTACACGCAACCCCAAGAATCCCACCAGCCCTCTGGGCGTCGGTGGTTTAGGGAGTTTCCTGTTCCACCCCTCCTTCTTCCCCTTCGGGGAGGGGTTTACCCCTCCCCCTACCCCCTCCCCTGGACATGGACAGGGGGTCTCGCGGGGTGTCAGGGTGTCCAAAACGGCCTCGGCGAGGAAGCCAACATCATTGATTTTACGATGGTTTTGGCCCCTCTCACCCAAGATGGCCCAAAGATGGCCCCCAAGGCTCCCAAGGGTGCCCCAAAATGGCCCAAAGATGGCCCCAAGAGGCCCGGCCCCCAGGAGGCCCCCAAGAGACCCCCAAGAGGCCCCAAGAGACCCCCCAGAGGCACCCAAGATGCTCCAAGAGGCCTCGGCGAGAATGCCGATTCATTGATTTTACGAAGGTTTTAGCCACATGTTGGCCTCTTGGGGGGGCACTGATTCAGATGATTCCACGAGCGCATGGGAGAGCCCAAATTGACCTCCAAGATGGCTCAAGATATCCCAAGATGTCTCATCATGGCTTCCTCTGTGTGCTGCCCACTTCCCTGATCGAGGCAATTCCTCTGGGCATCGTTTACGAAGGTTTTAGCCACATGCTGGCCTCTTGGGGGGGCCTTCTCCTCTTTCTCTCCTCAGCTGCCGATTTCTCCTCCATTCCTCCTCCTCCTCCTCCTCCTCCTCCTCATCATCATCCTCTTCCTCCTCCTCCTCCTCCTCCTCCTCCTCCTCCATCTTCTCTTATTCCTCCATGTTATATTCCTTCTCCTCCTCCTCCCCATCCTCCTCACCCCCCCCCCGCCTTCCTGTTATCCCTCCTCCTCCTCTTCTTCCTCCTTCTCCTCTTCCCTTCCTCCTTTTTCGTCCTCTTGTGTTACGACGGTTTCTCTGGCCTTTTGTTTTTCAGCATGCTCCCCTGCTTCTCTGATCAGGGAAAATCGTCTGGGCATCGTCTCTCGATGGGCTTCCCGACTTTTCACTTCCTATGATTCCTATGTCCTACCGGAGGGCCCAAGCCGTCTCCAGACAAAATGGACATGGATGTCCACATTGTCCGGGCGCCGTGGGCGGCCCAAGAAGGCCCCAAGAGGTGCCCAAGAAGGCCCAAGCCGTCTCTGGACAAAATGGACACGGATGTCCAAATTGTCCGGGCGCCGTCTTCCTCCTCCTCCTCCTTCTCCTCCTCCTCCTCCTCCCCTCCTCCTCCAGAGGCACCCAAGATGCTCCAAGAGGCCTCGGCGAGAATGCCAAACCATTGATTTTACGAAGGTTTTAGCCACATGTTGGCCTCTTGGGGGAGGGGACACTGATTAAGATGACTCCAAGAGCGCCTGGGAGAGCCCAAAATGACCTCCAAGATGGCTCAAGATATCCCAAGATGTCTCATCATGGCTTCCTCTGTGTGCTGCCCACTTGCCTCATCGAGGCAATTCCTCTGGGCATCGTTTCTGGATGGGCTGGTGGGGATTCTTTTTTGGTCGGCGGCTCCAAGGCGACGGTCAAGGAGCGAAAGCGGCGACCGGGTGGCGGAACGGGGCGAATTTGCGAACAAAGCCGCCAGTGTCGGCGGACAAGCTCGCACCCGCAAGACAAACTCGCAGTTGCACATGCACAGAACAAAATGAATTTGTTCTTTTTCTGGTGGGGATTCGCGAAGCGTCAACAATTCCATAGATTTTCATATATTTTGTGGGTTTTCGTCTTCCACTCCACTTCCCATATTTTCCCATGTCGTCCTTGGAATCGCCGAGTAATTGTGTGTGAGCGTTTTTTCCCGTCCTGAGAATCGGCGATACATCGCCGACATGGTTGGACCTGGGACAGATAGAAGAAGAAATAACGCCATGAATTTTAACTTTTGGCGCTCCGCGAGGATTTCTTGGATCTGCGCTGGACCCCCCTCCCTGGCGCGCGGAGCGCGCCAGGGGCGGCGCTGGAGGCGCCGCCAGGGGGGCCCAACAGAACAGAAGAACATCCTTCAAGAACATGGGACCCTCCGCCGGCCAAACAAACACACACACACAAACACACACACACACACACGCGCGCTCACACAACACACACACACAAAAAAAAACACACACAGACAGACACACATAACATCCAGGGGTGCCCTCCCCAGGATGCACAAGAACGTTCCACAAGCACGAAGAACATCGGGGCACCTCCCCGAACCGACCTCGATCCTATACCTCGGCCCGACTGTAGATCGGCGATAGGCCCACGATCGTCACCTGACTTCACGCATCGAACCCCGCGATGCGCGACGCGCGGTCGTAAGATGAGGCGAGAGATGAGGAGGAGGAGGAGGAGGAGGAGGAGGAGAAGGAGGAGGAGGAGGAGGAGGAGGAGGATCGAGGATCGACGAGGAGGACGAGGAGGAGGAGGAGGAGGAGGAGGAGGACCGAGGAGGAGGAGGACCGAGGAGGAGGAGGAGGGAGGAGGAGGAGGAGGAGAAAGGGAGGAGGAGGAGGAGGGGGAGGAAGAGGATCGAGGAGGAGGAGGAGGAGGAGGAGGGGAAGGAGGAGGAAGATCGAGTGGGATCTGGATCGAAGGGGATCTGGATAGAGGCTTCCCGCTACTCCGCCCGCCTCTTCCGGCGCAGCCAGCGCCCCGAGGCGGGCGCCGTGAGAAAACAGCTTCTCCTCCCCTCCTCCTGCTGCTCGTCCTGTACCTCCTTCCCCCCTCCTCCCTCTCTCCCTCTCTCCTTCTCTCCTTCTCTCTCTCTCTCTCTCGCTCTCTCTCTCTCTCTCTCTCTTTCTCCCCATTCCTCTCTCTCTCTCTCCCCCTCTCCCTCCGTATTGCTTGCTCTCTCTCTCTCTCATTCTCTCTCCCTGCTCGTCCTGCCCCTCCCCCCCTCTCCGTGTCAGGTTACCTGTTTTCGGTGGGCCAGAGGTTCTCTAACGTAGACGTCGTCGTCCTGGCGTCCTCGTCCTCGTCTTCCTCCTCCTCCTCCTCCTCCTCCTCCTCCTCCTCCTCCTCTTCCGCGCCTTCTGCGCCTCGGCCTGTGCTTTCGCCTCCTTCATTTCGTCTCTCTCCGCGCTGCGCTTCACGACCTGGCTGGCGCGGGGGCGAAGGGGATCGAGGATGAGCGAAGGGCACTCGCGTCCGACGTGTCAGGCTTACCACCGACCTCACAGAGGCCTCCCAAACGGGGCACGAACAACTGGGATCAGAGCACCGCGCCGCGTCGCCAGTGCATCGTCGATGCATCGTCGATGCGTCCGCGTCGTCGGCCATGTATTGGCAACGTCCGCCGAAGAGGGGGAAGAGGAGAAGGAGGAGGAGGAGGAGGAGGAGGAGAAAGAGGAGGAAGAGGAGGAGGATGAGGAGGATGAGGAGGAGGAGAAGGAGGAGGACGAGGAGGGAGGATGAAGAGGAGGAGGAAGAGGAGGAGGGGGAGGAGGAGAAGGAGGAGGAGAAGGAAGAGGAGGAGGAGGAGGAGGAAGAGGAGAGGAGGAGGAGGAGGAAGAGGAAGGGGAGGAGGAGAAGGAAGAGGAGGAGGAGGAGGAGGAGGAGGAGGAGGACGAGGAGGAGGAGAACACCGAACTTCACATCGAGCCGCATCGCCCATCCACCGGCGGCGAGGCGTGGCCCTCCGACCCCATTCGCTTGGACCCTGCCCCGGAGAAGCCCGGGGCCCAGGCGCGCGTCAGGAGACCACGTGCGCATGGCGCGCCGTGTGGCCATGATCCCATTCCGGGCGTGTGTAAACGGCGGAACCCTGTTGCGCCCGCACCTGGAGCCAGCGCGCAGCACCAGAAGTGCCGTATACACCGTCGTCGTGGATTCGCAACGTGCATTGACATCCCGGTGGACGCGGAAACGGCACGCGCACGCATACCACGGGGTGGGAGGGTCAAGAAGACGCGCATGTCCGCTGTGTGACCGTGGCCGCCAAGAGCCCACGCAGCCCAAACGCGCGCGAAGCCCTTCGAAGGCTCCCAGGGGTAAGGAAAATCAAAACATGGAGGAGGAGGAGGAGGAGGAGGAGGAGGAGGAGGACGACGACGACGAGGAGGAGAAGCAAGGGGAGGAGGACGACGAACAGGAGGTGGACGAGGAGGAGGAGGAGGAAACGGAGGAGGAGGACGAGGAAGAACAGGAGGAGGAACGGGAGGAGGAATAAAAGGGGTAGAAGGTTGAGGAAGGAGGAGGAACAAACAACGTATGTCCTGAATGGGCGGTTCCTCTGACCTGCAAGGCAGTGTCGTCTGATAGATGACCTGCAAGGCACCATCGTCCGCAGAAGGAATACACGCGGCCCCCTGCGATTGATTGCGTCGTCGACCCACGCCGGCACGAGAGGAAGGGAGAATGCGAATAATGATGCGACGAAGGAGGTTCGTTGGTTGGCTGGTTGCGTCTGCCCGGGGAGAGCATCGTTTCGAGCCTCTGGGCAGGGGCTCTTCTGCGCAACTGAGCTGGGCGGGCCCCCCTCCGAGACAACTGCAGACTGCAGCCCATCACGACACGTCGATCATGGAGCTGGCCGCCTTCGACCGCTACTGCCAGGACCACGTCCGCCACTACATCGAGGGCTCGGCCTCTGCTACCAGCTCATGGATCACTCTCGCGCCAGACGCGACCAGACCGAATGGGTTCCAGATGACCCGTGGGCATCGCCGGCGGAGGAGCCCCGCTGGGCACCTCTCCTCGACATCGGGGAGCCCGAGGAGGAGGGTGGCACTGCCGGCCCGCCAGAGCCCGACAGGCCAGAACGCCACCACGAGCCGGGCCGACCAGACAGGGCGGTTCGCTTTGAGAAAGCCTTCCAACTCATCGGCGAATCGGACGCCTCCTCCGAAGACGGCCTGCACGCGGCCGCGGGAGCCGCGAGCGGAGACCGCCCAAGGAGAGTCGTCCGCTCCCACCGCGCTGTGAGATGCATCGACGGCTCGGACACCTCATCCTGATCTCGCTGACCTTCGGCGCACAGGTGGTGGGCCGCCACTTTTCTAAACAACGGCCGGAGGCTCGGGATCTGAACAGCGAGAATGACTCCCCCCCACCTCCCCCTCGCTGCCTGCCCGCCCGTTTTTTCCTCCCCCGTCCTGCTTTCCTGGTCCTCGTGCCTCGCCCCGCCAACCTTCACCTCCCCCCCTCTTGTGGAGTCGGGACGGTTGGGGGTAGTTCAATGGGCGGGAAGGGGAGCACTCAGCCGACGGCGGCATGGCGTTGGCCATGATGCCGTGGCTCGAAACCTGCAAACAAATGGCGAGCACTTCATTCCCCACCCCTACCTCACCACACGCCATGCCGCACCGCGGCACCCTCAGAAGGGCCCCGCACATGTTCTCCAATCTTTTCCCAAGCCACCAGGACACTGACCAAGCAACCCCCCCTCCTCTTCTTACCCCCACTGCAAGATGTTTAAAGGCGAAGTGCCACCAGGGAATCGGCAATTCCCACTGCCACCAGGGCTACAGTACAGCCCTCTACCTCCGTGCAGCCTCCCGCGCTGTTGAAGCCTCCAGTGCCCCACCCACACTGACAGGGCCACCAGGGCCAGCAGCTGCTTCCGCTGGTCTTGGAGCAGAGCCACCAGGGCCGCAGTGCAGACTGGCACCCTCCTCATCTGCACACAGCCCTCCCGCCTACCTCCGTGCAGCCGCTGGCGCTGTTTGGCCTCCAGTGCCCCACCCACACATGAACAGGGCCACCAGGGCCAGCAGCTGCCACCACAGACCACCCTCACCAGGGCCAACAGGGCCAACTCTGTGTAACCCAGCGCATCTGCAGAGCCAACCGGCTGCAGGGCCATCAGGGCCACCGGCACCTTCATGCGTCACAATGCTAATCTGCCGCAGTCTGACTGCAGCCTCAGCCAGCCGGGCACAGGAGGGCTGGAGGACCTCCCAGCCTGTCCCCACAGTCAGCAGGGCAACAATTTGACTAAGCTGATGCTGCAACAACAGCCATCAGGGCTGCGCAGCACGAGCAACCTCGAATCACGGGGGGCTGATGCAGCTGGGCTGGAGGCCCACCCCTGCCACACGGGTTGGAGGCCCACCCCCACCCGACAACCTTCGGCAACCTCAGCGTCCCCCCCCAAATCCCATGCTCTGACCACGTGGGCGCCCCAAGAGGGTTGACCCAGGGCACCCCCAGGGCGCCGACCCCAAAAGGTCGGGGGACCCAAAGGGGGGGGACCCAAGACAGGGCCCTTAGGGGTCCATCAGCGCCTGCCAGCTGTGCTTTGCCGTCAACCTCTACCTCAACTTTCTGTCCTCCACAGGATGATCTGATGATTGATGTGATGACCTCTCCTTTTTTTTCTCTCTCTCTCTCTCTCTCTCTCTCTTCCTCACCAACTGGGGTCGAGCCCCACAATTTTGTCTACTCCCCCAGGGGGGGCCGACCGGCCCCCCCTGGGGGAAGCGGCAGCATCATCACGATCCTCATGCCGACAGGAATCAGGAATCAGGCCGAGGAGGGGGCGAGGAAGCGCACAAACGCAGCGAGCAGACGCGGACCAGGAGGAAGAGGAGGAGGAGGAGGAGGAGGAGGAGGAGGAGGAGGAGGGGGAGGAGGGAGGAGGAGGGAGGAGGAGGAGGAGGAGGAGGAGGAGGAGGAGGAGGAGGAGGAGGAGGAGATGGAGGAGGAGGAGGAGAAGATGGAGGAGGAGGAGGAGGAGGAGGAGGAGGAGGAGGAGGAGGAGGAGATGGAGGAGGAGGAGGAGGAGGAGGCGAGCCCCCCGGGCCCTCGGGCAGCGATTCCTGGGCCCTCGGGGCCTCGGGGCAGGCTCTCGGGCCCGCAGGCGCCGCGCGTCCTGGGCCGCCTGCGGGTGCCGCAGCGGCGCCGCGCACCGGGCAGCGCAGCGCCGTGCTGCGCGTGGGCCGTGCTGCCGGCTGCCGACGCCGCGCCGGCTGCGATGGAAAACTGCGCGCTGCGGTGCAGCGCAGGGCTCGAGCTAACCAGTGTCTTCCGTTGTCGCTCTGTGTTCGTCATCCCCAGTTCTGTCCTCGTTCCACATCTGCTGCAAGACGAAGCCAAAACAAAGACGGTCCACGAAATTGCGAAAACACCGTTTAGCTCGAGCCCTGGTGCAGCGAGGTGCGGCGCTATGCCACGCTGTCGCATGATGGTGAGCTGCGCGGACCCCAGCTATACTATGGTACGCAGTGTTGTGGCGTGAGATGTGATGACAGACTGCGCTGGGCCATGCTGAGGCTTGCATGCTGTGTCATATGCCGATGTGGTATGTTAGGCGCGAGACCATACAATGCTCCCTTTGATAAACGATTCCATCATGCGCTACATGAAAGTGAACGCCATAGTCTGCAATGATGTTCACTGACACGGTATGATATGGTGTGCCATGCTTTGTCATACTCTTATGACTGCGACGTGATGTACCAAGCTATGCCATGCATTTCTATGAGATCCCGTGCCAATCACCACTATGATGCAATATTCAACTTGGATAAGTGTATATCTGTGACCTGGTGTGGTTATCGAATGTATCTGCTGTAACAAGCCGTGCTGGCCACGATGCACGTTTCTCGATCGCACCAGGTTCATGCGCAAAGTCTTCAAACAAAACATATCACATTCCTGTGCGGGCGGGAGCGGGAATGCGGACAGTGTTTCCGAGGTTCTTGATCTCGCCGACGATGACGTCGCGCTGGTCATAGATCCTGCACGCCGCCCCGGGAGGCTCAGGTGTGTGGCAAAGCAGCGACGGAGGGCAGCGAGGAACGGGCCCACTGAGCAGCCCTCCACAGATGCCAGCGGCAAGGAAGGGCGAGACAGAGGCGAGGAAGACATACGCCTCGGCAGTCCCCCCGTCCCAGCAGGCCCCCACTGGCGCCCCCCAGCCCCCAATGCGGAAGGGCTGTCCGTCCGCTCTTCGGCGGGGTCCCTCGACCACTCCTCCCACGAACGAGGCGAAGGAGAATGGGGAGGAAAGAGAGGGAGGGGCAAAGAGGGAGCACGCGACAATGAGTGGAGCTGAGGGCGGGGGAGGGAGGGAGGTAGAGAGAGGGGGGGATTGAGGGATGGACCGAGCGAGGGGTGGACTCCGCTCCCTCTTCCCTCCTCCCACCTCCAAACAAATGTCCTCCTTCTCCAAACCTGCCTCTGCCCCACACCCAGCTCCCGACTCCACCTCCCTCCCCCTCCTCGCCCCGTCGTCATCGTCCTTCCCCTCCTCCTCCTCCTCCTCCTCCTCCTCCTCCTCCTCATCCTCCTCCTCCTACTCCTCATTGTGGTCATCGTCCTCCTCCTCCCCCTCCTTCTCCTCTTACGGGATCCCGCGCAATCAACACGCGGTCTAGTGATGGAGAAGAGCCGAGAAACCAACTCGACTGGGCAATCCCGCCCGAGAGTCTTCCGTGTTCCTCCTCCACGCGGACCTCCAAAATGTGATGCTAGTGCCGTTCTTTGTTCCTCGAAATCAAAGTCAAAGGGAGGAGAAGGGAGGACGACGACGGCGAGGCAGGTCAGTCAGCATCGGATCGAAAATCGAAGAGAGTGTCAGACACAGTCGCATCGGCACGGAGTCAAAATCGAGGCGGGTCGACTGCGCCAGGATTCTCGGCAACGCCTTACGAACAGCGTGCCGCATCGGAACGTCGGAACATCAGAATCAAATCGAATCGGGCGGGCCGGAACCGATATCGAATCGCACCGGTGGACACGAGATTGGCCCTGCGGCGAGGAGGAAGACGTGGAGCGAGGAGGACTCGAGCCAGCCACGGGATTTATTCTGCTCTGTCCCCTCCTGGTCTCCTCGTCCTCCTCCCCTTTCACATCCTGCTCATGTCATCCTTTTTTCTTCCTCCTCATCTTCATGTTCCTCTCCTCCTATTGTTCCTCCTCCTCCTCCTTTACTCCTCCACCCCTCCTCCTCTCACCCAGGATGAGGAGAGGGAGAGGACGGGGGACGGGGGGGGGTAAGGGGGGAGAACGAGGAGGAAAGGCGAGGACGACAAAACAACCAACGAAGGCGGTCGGCGAAAGACTCCCCCCCTCTTCTCCTCCTGCCGTACCGTGGCGACTCCGACGGGCTGGGAAGCTGTCCTTGGCTTCCCAGAAGGAGCGGCTCTCCCTCTCTTCCCTGCAATTCGCGCACAAGTGATGCCCACGCGCACGTGCCCTCCGCCACTAGTAGAGGTTGACGATTTTTGATGTTCACAAAGATCCGAACATAGATGGATTCCATTCCGATGCCAGAGTCTCTGCAGCGACGAGATGCAAGTACTCCCTCTCTGTTCCATGCGGCCTCGCAAGGCCCGTCTTCGGCCCGGCCGAGATCGGCAATCGGACATCTTGGAGGCTGAAATGGCGTGTCCGCCACTAGGTGTTCTTAATGGGTGCAAACTGATAATTTCATGGCTTATGCAGCGCCAATTCAAATGCTCTGCTATGATTGGCAGTTGGCATCCACTACTCGTGGGCAGATTGAGGCAGGATGCGGCGATTGAGCCTTGTCCGTTGGCGGTCACGCATCGCCCAGCCATGGCCGCCGGCACAAGCAAAGTGTGATCCACGCGTTCCAAAACTAAACATGTGAATCCACATTTTGGGATCACGCAGAATGTGAACTCACATGTCCGAAAACACAAGGTGAATCCACATTTTGGAACAACGCTATTCACAGGTTCCAATTTTACTACCAGACCGAAATGCAAATTTTCGAACTTTAGAAACACGCAACATGAGAATCCACATCAAACGCATCATAAGAACCATACCGAATTTTCAATGCACCCCGATGGGTGGCCCACGGCGTAGCGAGGCGGGCATCGAATTGAGAGCACCTTGTAATGGACGCACAATTTCATCCTCTGAACATTGAATCAAAATCGGATCGGATTGAATCAAATCTGCACCTGGGCAAACCAGCCGAACCCTCCGAACTGGACCGCCCGAGAAACAAAACCCGAAGCGGCCGAGCCGGATCGGCCGAACCGAACCGGTCCGCGACACGACCCGGTCCGGCCTGCGACGCGAACTGAGCCGGCCGAATCGAGCTGGCCTGCGACGCGGACCGAAGCGGCCGAACCGCAGCGGGCGCGCAGCGAGCCGAACAGAATCGAACCGCGCTGCGGCGGTCCTGCTCTTCCGTGCGCCCCCCTGCGCCCGTCCTCCTCGAGCTCTCCAGAGGACGCCGCGCGCCCACGGGAAGGGCAGCTCCCCTGGGCATCGTTCCCAGGTGTGCTGGTGTGGATGCGCGAGGCGTTGAGAACAAAGAGAACCCATGATGCCAAGGGTTCTGCGGCGAAAGAAACGGAATGAGAAGAAGAAAGAGAAGAAACAAAAATATAATGATGCGAAGAAGAAGAAGAAGAAGAAGAAGGAGGAGACGAATAAGAAGCACAGACGCCCTCTCTCTCCCTTGCCCCTCCCTGCGAGGAGCAACCAAAAACGGCACAGCCTGACTTCTCGAAGCTCCGCGCGGATTTCTGGGGTCGGCGCTGGGCCCCCCTCCCTGGCGCGCGGAGCGCGCAAAGGGCGGCGCCAGAGGCGCCGCCAGGGTTGGAGGCCTGGAAATCATTTCCGGCCGAAAACCGGCCCCCCCAAAACCGGACCGTCCCGCGACCGCCGAACCGAACCGGCATAACCGACCCGGACTGGCAAAACCGGACCGACCAAAACCGGACCCCGCGCCGAAATCGAACCGCTGCAACCGAACCGGTCCGCCGCCAAACCGACCCGAACCGGCCCGAACCGGACACTTCCTGGAAATGGGCACAACACAAGCACAGGGGGTTGCCTCCACAGGGGGAAGATGATCCTGGATGTCGGTGTCGGTGGCAACATTGCGGTCACCTTGGAAGCCAGAATATTGCCACCATCCCCGAGATCGGAATCTTCTTCCCTCGCTGGAGGCGCACCGCCGATGTTGGTCTTGGTGTCACCCTTTAGGCCTGCGACAGGGGGTCCCAGGTGCCGATCCAAGACGTCCGCGCGGACCTCCGAAAACTTGTGTTTCTGCCGTTGTCTGCTCTTCGACTTTCTCCTCCACCGGCCCCTCCCTGCGCCCGTCCTCTTGCGCTCGGCCTCCATCTTCTCCACCTCGCTCTCGAGCTCCTTCTGGCGCTTCGCGGCGTCCACGCTCCGCTGGTCGGCTGTGTCCCGCTCCTGCGCGGGCAAAGGGGGGCGGTGGCGAGCCGCTCCTCTGCCGGCCTCGTCGTCGCCCTCCCCCCCCCCGCCTCAATCCTCACTGCTCCCTCCTCCCTCCCCCCCTGCTCCTTCCTCCCTCCTTCCTTCCTCCCCCCCCCCCCTCCTCCCTCCCTCCTGCTCCTTCCTCCCTCGTCGTCGTGGCCTCACTGCTCCTTCCTCCCTCCCCCCCTCCTCCCCCCGACGGCAGGGCCCATGCAGTGGCCCTTGGAAGACGTCACGCAGTCGTGCTGACCACTCGAGCTGAAGGACCCGAGACTGAGTATGCCACGGACGTTGCAGGATCGATGTCTCAGGCGAACGCCCGATACGAGCGACACCTCCTCGATCGCTGCCCTGCTGCCACGACCTGCTGCTGCTTTGCCAAACCAACCGCCCAGAATCAACTACTCTACGGAACGGTGTCCTGCTCGGCTATGCGTATCTGCGTGGATCGCCAGTCAAGAGGCACCCAGGGCAATGCGCAGAGTAGAATGCTTCGACGCAGGAAGGCAGGCGACGTGCATGCGCGTGTGGAGTGGGCTCGTTGCCTTCCCTCGCTTTTGTGTGTAATCAGATTGTCAGCATGCATACATATATGTACACCTATTTCCATGTTATATACATATGCATATACATACCAGAACCACGCGCGCGCTTCGCGCGCGCTTAGGTTCTAGCAAGCCCCAGGCCGTGACAAGTTCACAGACCCTCTGAAACAGTTACCCACAAAGGGCATGAACATGAGGTGCACCGAAGCGTCAATAAAAACGAGGACCGAGCAGAGATCAATTACAGACAATGGCACGCCCATACAATGCATTGCGAACCAATGCAAAGCAGTGAAGAGAATGTTCAGAATGGAGTGCCCACACTGGCACTGCAATGCAACGCAGTGCCATGAAAACCAGATGCGAGCGCCATGCGGCGAGAAGCATTGCAAGCAAAAGCTTGAAAAGCAAATGAAAGGCAAGGCAATGCGATGCCATCCGACTAAATGCAACACACAGCAATGCTCACCAGCGCAATGCCGTTTGCGGAGCCATGCCTGCGCACATCCGTAGGAAAGAAACCAAGTGAAAGAAAATGCAATCCAATGCACAATAACGCAAGAGGCCGTACGACCCCAAAGGCTCCCGAAACCTCAGAGATCGTAGGGATAAGGTACGCAACATAAGTCTTGGATGCCCCTACTCAGCCGTCGGTAAACATCCATGTGACGCCAGCGCACCAGCTCGTCCTTCTTCTCGTCCCCCTCCCCCTCCTCCCCCTCCTCCTCCACCTCCTCCTCCTCCTCCTCCTCCTCCTCGTCCTCGTCCTCGTCCTCGTCCTCGTCCTCGTCCTCGTCCTCCTCCTCCTCCTCCTCCTCCTCCTCCTCCTCCTCCTCCTCCTCCTCCTCCTCCTCCCCCTCGCAGTGGATCCGGCCGGTCGGCCGGCCTCGGCAGGCGACCGTTTGGCCGGCCTCGGCCGGCGACCGTTTAGATTCCCACGCAGACTTCTTATGGGGAAGAGCAAAAATAACTAATTTCCCCCCCCCCCCCTCCCCTCAGGCTGCCGGGCAATAATTGTCACAAATAGCCCCCGGTCCATCGGCCACGCGGCCGGGACAAGCTATACGTTTTCAAAGTCCACGTCAGGCCCTAATCCGAGGTCTAGAGCAGTATCCGTGGAATCTGCATGTCCACCACAGGCTTTGCCGTATCCCACTTAGTGGGATTGTGTTGCAGCTATTTCAATGCACTTCTCCCAGCACAAGGCCTAATCTGGCCTACTCTGGAACTGGTGGCACTTTCAGATTCTGGGCTATCGTCTGTTCCCGCATTGTCCCTTTCAGCTCTGCGCTTGCGCTGCCATCTGTCTCAATATTCCTGGGGTGCTAGCGGCAACGCCGCCTCCAAAGATGCATTGCGAGGAGTTCACGATATGGCTCAACAGTGGAGATTTCTGGCATCGCGCTGGAAAGTGATCCCCGACAGAACGCGTTGCGAGCCTCCGCAGCAACGCCGGCAGGTCACACGCTTGTCCATTTATCAGGGGTCCGTTTGGGAGCCTCTTGGGGCCTCTTTTGGTCCTCTTGGGGGCCTTTTTTGGGCCTCTTGGGGCGGAAAGCTGGAATTGTCGATTCGTGTTCCCCTTCTTGGGCGCCTTTTGGGCCGTTTGGGGGCCCTCTTGGGCCGCCGTCTTGGGGGCCTCTTGGGCGCTCTGTGGGCGAAGTTGGCTGCTTTTTGGACAGTCTTGGGACGTCGGACTTCTGGAAACAAGAAAACGCGAAACACTATAAATAACAGACAGAAAATCAATGACTTACCCTTGGTTTTCAGCGGGGAACTGTTCTCTCTACTATGTTCGCTGGTCAAAGCGACTCGGGTCCGAGGCTGGAGAGGCGGGTGCCTTTACTCGCCTCTCCTTGAAATCACACCTGGCAGAAGCGAAGCGAGAAGGGAGGGCGAGCCAGGCGGCTCGGAAGGGAGGGGAGCCAGGATGACTTCGGAGCAACGGCAACATGGATCGATGAGACCGACACCCCAAACCCCGCTAAGTCATTACTGTGCACGCACCCCCATGACTTACCTCTGGCTTTCAGCGGGGAGCTGTTCTCTCTACTATGCTCGCTGGTCAAAGCGACTCGGATCCGAGGCTGGAGAGGCGGGTGCCTCAACTCGCCTCTCCTTGAAATCACACCCAAGTCAGATTCCCCAAACAGAAGCTGTTCTCACACCGTAAGGTATCGCGCCCGCAGGGCGCTCAAAACTGTGAAAACGACGGCTTTATGGAAGCACGCGGGGATACGTTCGGCGAGGCGGGGTCGGGGGACGCGTTTCTTGTGGCCGTCCCGAGCCCTGACGCCAGGGCCTTGCAACCCTAGACGGTTAGCGTCCTTATGCGAGATGTTGCTGATAAACGTAGCGGCTCTCAGGCTAGAAGCCCCTTTGCATCTACACGTGTGAGAAAAGACAGGAGGGGGGGCATAAAAAAGGCGCGCGGTGGCTGTCTCACTCACAGACTTGAAGCAACTGGCCGCCAAGGGAAGCCCCAAAGCCTCCGCGCACGACAGTAAGCGGACGAGTCCTCGAGAGATGATCTGGTCGCTCAGGGAGATTCGGACTCCGCCGATGCCCCCCCCTTCCCATGTCAGTTCTGAGCCTGAACGAAAGAGAGTCTGACACATCGCAATCCTCGGTATACCGAGCGAGAAATCCTGCGGCCACGGCATGTGCAGGAGCGCTAAAAGCCTTGCCCACGACCAAAACAAAGAGGTGCGTCTCTCATCCATCGGGAGTGCAAAGCGGGTTTTGGCAGCACGCAGCCGTGCACCAAGATCTCCACGAACTGTTCCTCGCACTGCGCTGCGTGCTGCCGTAGCCAGCTCGGATGGGCTATCCACGTCGAGCTCAACCTCGCGCCCTTCTCGCATCGCACCACCGAGCGGTCTGATTTCCAGCCGCCCCGCTTTTTGACCTCCGCCAGCGTGCGCCGACGCGAGGCCATGTCCGTGCTGGCGCCACTGTGCCTGGCCTGGTACACCGCCAAGTTGAAGCCCAGGTCGCGGGCGACCTTCTGCACAACAGCAGCCAGCTGGGGATAGCTGAAATCCCAGACGCGCACCCCAGGAGGTCGAGATCGAAGAGCCTGGGGCATGGGAGTCAGATCGAGCCACCAGTCGTGGTCCAACTCGATCGTCACATCGAACTCCTTTGCCTTGGAGGGCACCCCGTCGACCTCTGGGTTCAACTGAACGGTCCAGTAAGTGGCGACTCGGCTGGGGGCGTACAAGTACTCGGGCTTGAGCGCCATCAGCTGAACAGGGCGCGCGTAGGTGCTCCACATGAGACAGATGAGCAGGCCATATCGTAACGCCCCATGCCGCACAGCCCGTTCACGATGGCACACCAGATCGGCCACGCTTCGGGCAGACGGGAGGTCGCGGGACACAGGTTCTGCCATCCCTTCAGCGCCCTCCAGCTGCGCTGCAACGTGCGCGGGCCCTGCTTCCCCGCTTGCGGCCGAGCGTGGACCACTCCAGCCAACAGCTTCATGCCACGGGCTGCCGTCGCTCCCGACTTGATCTGATGATCGATGTACTGGACCAGCAAATCGTCCAGATTCTCGATCGGGATCTCCGTCGCGCGCTCGACGCCACAGAACAGGCTGAACTGGTGCACCTCCTGGGCGTACTGCGCCTCGGTCCGAGGCCTCACCGCTGCGTGCTCTCCGAGCGTCAAGTGGGAGAGCTCTGGAAGCGCCTCGGACCCCAGAAGCTTCGGCAGCGTGGCTTTCCTGCTGCGAGGAAGCGTTCGCTGTCGAACGGCAGCCGTGACCTCGCCCTCGCTGTCCGAGCTCGACGCTTCTCTGAAGCGCGGATCGGTCTTGATCAACCCCTTCAGCTGCTCCCTCGGAGTCCGCAAGGCCAGGCTCGCAGGCGCTGCGGGCCAGGGCGGCGACTCCCAACTCGCCCTCCGCCTTGAGGACGCGGGAAGTGCGCTGCAGTGATGCGGACGGCCCCTGGTCGGCGCAGCTGCCGGCAGCACTTCGGACAGCGACGAGGCTAAGACCCGAACTCTGGCGGTGCAGATAGACGGGGGCGGTAGCATATGAAATGGCGCGAGCCGAAATGTCTACGGAGGGGCCCTTGTCTTTACGAGGGGGCCCTGGCTTGGGGGCCCAATGCAACGCCTGATTCTCATGAAGCCCTAGATCTTGCCAAGACGTCTCGGGAGCCTGCGAAAGAAAACGGATAAAAAAAAACGGATCCATCAAGTTACAGGGTCCCTCCGCCTCGCCAGGGTCCTGGAAATCGTCATGGGGGGCGCGCTTGTGGGGGCGGGGGCGGTCAACGTCGTCTCTCTCAGGGGCTACCGAATTCGACCGTAAATCAAACAGGCGAGAGGGAACGTCGGCCGGATTCCTTTCGGACGGCATCCAGCGCACCGAGAGGTGAATGTTACGACTGAGGCACCGCGCCGCCATCCTGCGCAAAACCA